CGCCATACCACGGCAAGCATGGAGCCCGCTCAGGTAACTGTCACTCTATGTCTCCTGGGTGCTGGCAGATGCGGTACGGCTTTGCTGCTGTCACGGGTCCCTGGGCGATGTCTGAACTGCTCCCCATGAAGCCAGTCAGGACTCTGGGCAGTCGCCTTTCTGTGAGAGCCTGTCTTCAGGACAGAGCTCACACAGCTTCCACCTTCCTGGGTCTGACCTCGGATTCAGCATCCTCTGCCCCTCCGTGTTCCCACAGCGAGTCCGCTCAGGGGGGTCCTGGGGAAGCCAGAGGGTCCGCACCCCAACCAGTCAGAGTGACTCTCAGCCAGCCAGTAAAACAGAAGGTTTATTAGAGACAGGAACATGGTCTAAAACAGAGCTTGCAGTCAAAACGGGACCCTCAGCTGGGTCCATTTTGGGGGAGTGACAGACAACCACGTCTGCACTTCACTCCATGTCCAGCCAGCCCCAAACTAAAACCCCTCCAGCCCCTCCTCCTCTGGGCTTTGTTCCTTTCCCGGGCAGGTGGTACCTGATTCCTTTGTTCTCCAACCCTTCAGCTCTCACCTTGCAGGGGGAAGGGCCCAGCCATTAGTTGCAGGAAACAGGGTGTCGGCCATTCTCTGTGTCAGACTCCTGACACACCTGCCCTCTAGGGCTCTGCAATGATCATACACCCTTACTCCACCCCCTAGATACTTAAGAACTGCCTAGGGGAAACTGACACCCCCACACTATTCAGAGGAAACATTAAGAACAGTCCCACTTCGTCACATCTCTCCCCCTTCGAGATCGAACTGAGGGGGTCACTTTAGGTGACCTGGGGAAGTTCGAAGCACAACGTTCCCATGGATGCCCCAGCATCTCTCCCATTCCTTGGTAGGAGTTACACCAGGCCCTTCCAGTTTCACGCCCTCCCTTAGGTCAGGGGTGGTCGATAGCACTCGCAGGCGCAGTGGGAAGGTTTAGCAGCCCATGCCCTTTGGCCACCCCAAGAATGTCTCCCCATTGACCATCACCTTCTGCTCCCACTGGAGGTCGGGGGCCTGGCCCCAGGAAACCCACACAGACATATAGGTTGGGGTCAGGGTGGGAGCCTGTCACATCCCCAACCATCTGGCTGAGGAGTCTGTGGCCTTGGGACCCAGCAAGGGAGCTAGACACCGGGCTTTTCCGCAGGGTCCCCTTGGTTCAAATCGCCAGCCTGCTCAAAGGCAGTGAGGTGGCATCCACACACACACCCCCCTTAACCAGGGGCAGCAATTTAGTCTCGAGGTTCCCTGCGAACTGGCCCCCGGGGTCTATCCCCACTCACCCCTGGGAGGTCCCTAGGCCTCTCCGCTCCCCCACCGCCAGTTCATTGCTGCTGCTTCTGCAGCTCTTTCTCGGGCTCTCGCTGTCTCTCACAGTCCTCTTGCTCTCTCAGACTCAGCTCCAATCCCGTCCGTCTTGATCCCCAATGGGGAACCTGATCGTGAAGACCCCCGTCTGGTCGGGGACAGGAGTCTTGGCGATGCCTGGCTCCGCTCCAGCTGCTCCCAGATCCTGCTATAGCCCCAGTTGGGGTCAGGAATCTGTTCCTTAGAGGTCATCCTCCTCCAGCGCACGATTAACTCTGCTTTGGTGAACTTTCCAACGCTCAACCCTCTCTTTTGCACAGGGTTAAATGTCCTTCTTAAGGAGACGGTGACAGGCCATCACTCCGCTCCTCCCAAGTTGTTGTGGACTCACAGCCCGTGTGTTCTCAGCTCCCCACGGTTTCCAGGGAGAACCCTAGTGTGTCAGCCCTTCTCGAGGTCACCACCTCTTTGCCAGGGTCGAGCTGAGACTCCTCCGCCCCTTGGACTGCTCGCTGCAATCCCCAGGGGAACCCTGTTACTGACAGTCCTTCTCGCTGGTCCACACTCCCAGGGGTTAACCGTCCCCGAAACGCTCCTCTCTGAGCCTTCAGAGGCCTGGTCCTCGGCAATCCCCTTCGTGTTACTGCTCCCCAGTCACTTATGCAGGAAGCACCATCACGGGGTGCAGTACATCCCACCGCTGCCACCAGTTGTCACGAGTCCCTGGGCGATGCTCTGGAACGCTCCCCATGAAGCCAGTCAGGACTCTGGGGAGTCGCCTTTCTGTGAGAGCCTGTCTTCAGGACACGCAGCTCACACAGCTTCCACCTTCCTGGGTCTGACCTCGGAGCATTCAGCATCCTCTGCCCCTCCGTGGCTTCCCACAGCGAGTCCGCTCAGGGGGGTCCTGGGGAAGCCAGAGGGTCCTGCACCCCAACCGCAGTCAGACGTGACTCTCAGCCAGCCAGTAAAACAGAAGGTTTATTAGAGACAGGAACATGGTCTAAAACAGAGCTTGCAGGTGCAGAGACGGGACCCCTCAGCTGGGTCCATTTTGGGGGGAGTGAGCCAGACAACCACGTGCACTTCACTCCATGTCCCAGCCAGCCCCAAACTGAAAACCCCCTCCAGCCCCTCCTCCTCTGGGCTTTGTTCCTTTCCGGGCCAGGTGGTCACCTGATTCCTTTGTTCTCAACCCTTCAGCTCTCACCTTGCAGGGGGAAGGGCCCAGGCCATTAGTTGCAGGAAACAGGGTGTGGCCATTCTCTGTGTCCAGACTCCTGCACACACCTGCCCTCTAGGGCTCTGCAATGATCATACACCCTTACTCCACCCCCTAGATACTTAAGAACTGCCTAGGGGAAACTGAGGCACCCCCACACTATTCAGAGGAAACATTAAGAACAGTCCCACTTCGTCACAGCTGCACAGTAGCAGCAACCCATTGCCTTCTGGCAGCAGACGGTGCAATACGATTGGTAGTCGTCCTCGTCGTGTCCGAGGTGCTCCTGGCCACGTCGGCTGGGAGCGCCTGGGCAGACATGGGCGCAGGGACTAAATTTGGAGTGACTTGACCAGGTCATTCTCTTTAGTCCTGCAGTCAGTCCTATTGAACCGTCTTATGGTGAGCGGGCAGGCGATACGGACTGCTAGCAGTCGTACTGTACCATCTTCTGCCAGGCAGGCAAGAGATGAGGATTGCTAGCAGTCGTATTGTACCATCTTCTGCCAGGCAGGCAAGAGATGGGGATGGCTAGCAGTCGTACTGTACCATCTTCTGCCGAGCAGCCATGAGATGTGGATGGCATGCAGTCCTTCTGCACCGTCTGCTGCCAGCCAAAGATGTAAAAGATAGATGGAGTGGGTCAAAACAAGAAATAGACCAGATTTGTTTTGTACTCATTTGCCTCCTCCCCTGTCTAGGGGACTCATTCCCTCTAGGTCACACTGCAGTCACTCACAGAGAAGGTGCAGCGAGGTAAATCTAGGCATGTATCAGTCAGAGGCCAGGCTAACCTCCTTGTTCCAATAAGAACAATAACTTAGGTGCACCATTTCTTATTGGAACCCTCCGTGAAGTCCTGCCTGAAATACTCCTTGATGTACAGGCACCCCCTTTGTTGATTTTAGCTCCCTGAAGCCAACCCTGTAAGCCGTGTCGTCAGTCGCCCCTCCCTCCGTCAGAGCAACGGCAGACAATCGTTCCGCACCTTTTTTCTGTGCGGACGCCATACCAAGGCAAGCATGGAGGCCGCTCAGCTCACTTTGGCAATTAGGAGCACATTAAACACCACACGCATTATCCAGCAGTATATGCAGCACCAGAACCTGGCAAAGCGATACCGGGCGAGGAGGCGACGTCAGCGCGGTCACGTGAGTGATCAGGACATGGACACAGATTTCTCTGAAAGCATGGGCCCTGCCAATGCATGCATCATGGTGCTAATGGGGCAGGTTCATGCTGTGGAACGCCGATTCTGGGCTCGGGAAACAAGCACAGACTGGTAGGACCGCATAGTGTTGCAGGTCTGGGACGATTCCCAGTGGCTGCGAAACTTTCGCATGCGTAAGGGCACTTTCATGGAACTTTGTGACTTGCTTTCCCCTGCCCTGAGGCGCATGAATACCAAGATGAGAGCAGCCCTCACAGTTGAGAAGCGAGTGGCGATAGCCCTGTGGAAGCTTGCAATGCCAGACAGCTACTGGTCAGTTGGGAATCAATTTGGAGTGGGCAAATCTACTGTGGGGGCTGCTGTGATGCAAGTAGCCCACGCAATCAAAGATCTGCTGATATCGAGGGTAGTGACCCTGGGAAATGTGCAGGTCATAGTGGATGGCTTTGCTGCAATGGGATTCCCTAACTGTGGTGGGGCCATAGACAGAATCCATATCCCTATCTTGGCACCGGAGCACCAAGCCGCCGAGTACATAAACCGCAAGGGGTACTTTTCGATAGTGCTGCAAGCTCTGGTGGATCACAAGGGACGTTTCACCAACATCAACGTGGGATGGCCGGGAAAGGTGCATGATGCTCGCATCTTCAGGAACTCTGGTCTGTTTCAAAAGCTGCAGGAAGGGACTTTATTCCCAGACCAGAAAATAACTGTTGGGGATGTTGAAATGCCTATATGTATCCTTGGGGACCCAGCCTACCCCTTAATGCCATGGCTCATGAAGCCGTACACAGGCAGCCTGGACAGTGGTCAGGAGCTGTTCAACTACAGGCTGAGCAAGTGCAGAATGGTGGTAGAATGTGCATTTGGACGTTTAAAGGTGCGCTGGCGCAGTTTACTGACTCGCTTAGACCTCAGCGAAACCAATATTCCCACTGTTATTACTGCTTGCTGTGTGCTCCACAATATCTGTGAGAGTAAGGGGGAGATGTTTATGGCGGGGTGGGAGGTTGAGGCAAATCGCCTGGCTGCTGGTTACGCGCAGCCAGACACCAGGGCGGTTAGAAGAGCACAGGAGGGTGCGGTACACATCAGAGAAGCTTTGAAAAACAGTTTCATGACTGGCCAGGCTACGGTGTGAAAGTTCTGTTTGTTTCTCCTTGATGAAACCCCCCCGCCCCTTGGTTCACTCTACTTCCCTGTAAGCTAACCACCCGCCCCTCCTCCCTTCAATCACCGCTTGCAGAGGCAATAAAGTCATTGTTGCTTCACATTCATGCATTCTTTATTCATTCATCACACAAATAGGGGGGTGACTACCAAGGTAGCCCAGGAGGGGTGGTGGAGGAGGGAAGGAAAATGCCACACAGCACTTTAAGCACAGCACTTTAAAAGTTTACAACTTTAAAATTTATTGAATGACAGCCTTCTTTTTTTTGGGCAATCCTCTGTGGTGGAGTGGCTGGTTGGCCGAAGGCCCCCCCACCGCGTTCTTGGGCGTCTGGGTGTGGAGGCTATGGAACTTGGGGAGGAGGGCGGTTGGTTACAGAGGGGCAGCAGTGGCAGTCTGTGCTCCAGCTGCCTTTGCTGCAGCTCAACCATACACTGGAGCATACTGGTTTGGTCCTGCAGCAGCCTCAGCATTGAATCCTGCCTCCTCTCATCACGCTGCCGCCACATTTGAGCTTCAGCCCTGTCTTCAGCCCGCCACTTACTCTCTTCAGCCCGCCACCTCTCCTCCCAGTCATTTTGTGCTTTCCTGCACTCTGACATTATTTGCCTCCACGCATTCGTCTGTGCTCTGTCAGTGTGGGAGGACAGCATGAGCTCGGAGAACATTTCATCGCGAGTGCGTTTTTTTTTCTTTCTAAGCTTCACTAGCCTCTGGGAAGGAGAAGATCCTGTGATCATTGAAACACATGCAGCTGGTGGAGAAAAAAAAAAGGGACAGCGGTATTTAAAAAGACACATTTTATAAAACAGTGGCTACACTCTTTCAGGGTAAACCTTGCTGTTAACATTACATACATAGCACATGTGCTTTCGTTACAAGGTCGCATTTTGCCTCCTCCCACCACGTGACTACCCCCTCAACCTTCCCCCCTCCCTGTGGCTAACAGCGGGGAACATATCTGTTTAGCCACAGGCAAACAGCCCAGCAGGAATGGGCTCCTCTGAGTGTCCCCTGAAGAAAAGCACTCTATTTCAACCAGGTGACCATGAATTATATCTCACTCTCCTGAGGATAACACAGAGAGATAAAGAACGGATGTTGTTTGAATGCCAGCAAACATACACTGCAATGCTTTGTTCTACAATGATTCCCGAGTATGTGTTACTGGCCTCGAGTGGTAAAGTGTCCTACCATGAAGGACGCAATAAGGCTGCCCTCCCCAGAAACCTTTTGCAAAGGCTTTAGGACTACATCTAGGAGAACCGCAAATGCCAGGGCAAAGTAATCCTTTCACATGCTTGCTTTTAAACCATGTATAGTATTTTAAAAGGCACACTCACCAGAGGTCCCTTCTCCGCCTGCTGGGTCCAGGAGGCAGCCTTGGGTGGGTTCAGGGGGTACTGGCTCCAGGTCTAGGGTGAGAAACAGTTCCTGGCTGTCGGGAAAACCGGTTTCTCCGCTTGCTTGCTGTGAGCTATCTACAACCTCCTCCTCATCATCATCATCATCTTCTTCATCCCCAAAACCTGCTTCCGTATTGCCGCCATCTCCATTGAAGGAGTCAAACAACACGGCTGGGGTAGTGGTGGCTGAACCCCCTAAAATGGCATGCAGCTCATCATAGAAGCGGCATGTTTGGGGCTCTGACCCAGAGTGGCTGTTCGCCTCTCTGGTTTTCTGGTAGGCTTGCCTCAGCTCCTTCAGTTTCACGCGGCACTGCTTCGGGTCCCTGTTATGGCCTCTGTCCTTCATGCCCTGGGAGATTTTCACAAAGGTTTTGGCATTTCGAAAACTGGAACGGAGTTCTGATAGCACGGATTCCTCTCCCCAAACAGTGATCAGATCCCGTACCTCCCGTTCGGTCCATGCTGGAGCTCTTTTGCGATTCTGGGACTCCATCATGGTCACCTGTGCTGATGAGCTCTGCATGGTCACCTGCAGCTTGCCACGCTGGCCAAACAGGAAATGAGATTCAAAAGTTCGCGGTTCTTTTCCTGTCTACCTGGCCAGTGCATCTGAGTTGAGAGTGCTGTCCAGAGCGGTCACAATGGAGCACTCTGGGATAGCTCCCGGAGGCCAATACCATCGAATTGTGTCCACAGTACCCCAAATTCGAGCCGGCAACGTCGATTTAAGCGCTAATCCACTTGTCAGGGGTGGAGTAAGGAAATCGATTTTAAGAGCCCTTTAAGTCGAAATAAAGGGCTTCATTGTGTGGACGGGTGCAGGTTTACATCGATTTAACGCTGCTAAATTCGACCTAAAGTCCTAGTGTAGACCAGGGCATAGATATGGCAACTCTAGGGGCTGGTTAGAACTGTGGGACCAGCCAAGGTTGAAGAAAGCGATCTAACTTGGAGAAGAGAGAGAGTGAATGATTTGGAAGAGAAGCCAGGTGCAGGAGGGGGCATTCTGGGCACCCTGTAGGGCTCTGTCAGAGCAGTGAGGAAACTGAGGCAGAGGACTGCATCCTGGAGGGGTTATTATTTTGTCTGGATCTGTGCCTCTCTTGTGCTACCTTAAGTAAAAAGTAATTTGTTTTAGAACCCTGTGCAAAGTCTGTGTGTCCGTTTGCTTTCACTATCGCCTGCCCCTAAGCGTTCACCCGTAAACCCAGCGCACCCACACAGCTGCAGCTCTGGGAAAGTGTGTGCTTACACTGTGGTATTTGGGGCTGTGTCTTTAAGGGCTGAGCTTCCCAGACAGATGAAAGCAGAGCTCAGCACCTGAGTGATCACTGAACCCGCACAAAGCTTCTGGGGCTCAGCACTGGTCCTGGAGCCCAGGCCGTGTGGTCCCCCTTGTGTGAAGGGGTATCAGACTGATATCTTGTGCCCAGAAAATGAGGCCATGGCTAAAGCCTACTCAGATCCAGAGCAGCTTGGAGCATGTGGGTCCAGTGGATTGGGACCCAACCCAGCAGCCTGGGAAGTGTCCAGCGACTCCCCCCAAGGCTGATGCTTTGTGTTTAGCTGGGCCCAGCTGTGTTTGTTCTTAAAGCGCAGGTGAAAAGAACCAGGCCAATCACTCCAGCGACAGAGGCCCAGTATTTCTCTGCAGCACAAGGAGAAGCCAAGCATCCAGCACATGTAAGACCCCGCCCCTGGACATCAGTGGAGCTGGAGGGGCCCCTTCTAAGATGAACAGGCTAGCTAGCCTGGCGACTGGGGCTATACAAATAAATAGCCATGGACAGATGGACAGAGGGCAGTTCAGTCTCCATAGCCCATTCGTTCCTTGGCTTCACTGATAAAGCGGTTCATGGCGGGAACTAATAATAACAGGCTTTACTTTAATACCCTGTAATGTCCTATCACCAGACACTTGTACCCCGGGGGAAGTAATTTTTCTCTAGGGACCTGGGCCAAGCTCCATGTTTTAATGAAGGTCACCCGAGAGCCCAGAGATTGTTGGACCTTTCTGTCCCTACCAACTTGCCCTGCTACCCTGGAGCAGATGAGCTCTGTACCCTGGTGCCTCCCCGCAAGCCCACCTGTCCACAGCATCACTATCACGCGCCCGGGTGGGGGATGCTTTGCAGACATGGCAGGTGATGAGTCGCTGTGGACATGCTGTTCCCCTGGCTGGGATGCAGCTGCTGTACGAGACGAGAGCGCCCTGCAAAAAATGGATCATACGGGATAAGCCCCACCCAGTGCTTCTGGCGCTTTGCGGCAGCTTCCAGCCGCAGGGACCCAGTTGGTTTTAGGGAGCTGGGCTTATTGGAGAAGTTCTTGGTGCACAGCCTGGGCCATCACCCCTTGAATGTGTAAAACCCACTGCCGGAGGCTAGGCAGCTGCATGGCTCTGGCCAAGGCAATCCTGGCCCCTCTCTTGACAATCAAGCTGGATTGATTTCAGTGCAGTTATCCTCCAGGGGCATCTAAACTCTGAGACTCATTGGCAATCTGTGAGCACTACAGCAAGGCAGCGAGGAGGCTGGAACGGAAAAGAAGAGCAGGTTATTGCAGAGCACCTACGGGGGTGCTGCAGTGTTTCTAAAGCCAGCACTTGGCTATGGGCAGCCTGGGGGATCTGTCCATTTCCTGCACGTCTCCCTGGCCCTGTAGGTATTTAAAGGCTGTGAGCCCTTTGGCAGGTTTCCACGCCGGCTGGTTTTTGATCTCTTGCTGTTTCTCTGTCGCTTTCTCGCTTTCTTTCTCTCATCTGGCAGATCCTCTTGTCCTGCCGCAAGCTGGAGACTTTCGGGATGGCAGCGCTGGAGACTCACCAATGTCCGTATGTGAGCGAAGCCCTGGCTGGCTCACACCCCTCATTTCATCGAGACGAGGGGTACAGTTTTCAAAAGCACCTATGTTACATCAGTGCAAGTCACTTTTGAATGTGGGATTTAGGAGCCTGAATCTCACTGACTTGAATCCAAGCCGCAGCAGGCTGTGGACTGTGACCAACCCCCTTAGCAGAGTCCTAGACCCAAGGCCTGGCTGACCCAAGTCAGACTGATTTGTGTGTGGACAGGTTCAAACCCGAGTCAGAGCTGAAGCTCAGTGTGTGGTGTAGATATACACTCAGCAGACCCACTCCACGGGGCTCCCATCTGCTGAGTGAAGCTATTGTTGTTTTACATGTAACCCACACACCTCCTGGGTGAGACGCTGCTTACATATAAATTAGAAGGAATAACGCAGAGACAGCAGGGGTCCCGCTTTCTTTGTCTTTGTGGCAGGAAACTTCTCAGGGCATCTTTAAAGTTAAGAGTTTTAATGCTTCTTCTATTCAGTCCATTTTCTGAACCCCTTTAGGTCCATCAGGGGTTAATAGGAGCTGAAATTCTGTTTCAAGTGAATCTAAGCCCTGTTATTTCCTATAGAAAGGGCTTTCAGGTCTCAAAATAGCTTTTACACTTTAATGAGCTTTTAGATTTAAAGACTTTCTTGAAGAATCATTTAAGGAGTTATTGTCCTTTCTTTTCACCAATGCTTGGAGAGGTGACACTTATCTTTCTGAGTTCGGTAAGGAGTTGCTTAAGCATTACCAGATACCTAATTAATTCCCAGTGGCTACAACCAGCTATAGCCGCAGATGATTCCATACGGGTTCGTAAAACATCTCAGTAGCCACAGATGAATGGTATCAGGCAGTTATCATATGAATGCTTGCATGGAGGTACGAAGTATGTGCAAATACACGTCTTATTTAAAAAAAAAACTCGCGTCATCTTAAGCGTTTAGGGAACGAAGTGGAAACGTGGGGGGGTTAAATGTGACCCAAACAATTCTCAACTCTACACGTTTTCCTTAAAGTGCAACGAATGAAGACTTTGAGGGTCAATACAATAAATCATTTTAAATCAGAGTAATTCCAGAATCCTTTGTCTGGTTGTAAGACTGAGGTTTTGCTCTACAAAGAGAGCAGTGGGGGAGAAACCCCAATTTCACCACCTTGGGCTAGACCCACAAAGGGACTTAGCCCCTCAAGTGGCAGTGAAACACCTAAGTCCGAAATCTGGATCCTCGAAACTGCCGCTCAGCTGCCCCCTAACCCTGTAGGCACCTAAATTCCCAAGGCACTTGAACTTCTGCTGCTGGTCTTGCATGCAGCCCGCTCAGTCCTGACGCCCAGATGCCTAGCTCACTCCTATGCCCCAGCCGATCTTGCCTGCGGGGCCCACGAGGAGGCAATTTCAGAGGCTGACTACTCAGGATGTGTCTACACTGCACACTAAGTCCGGGCTCTGGTTTGAGCCCAGGGCCCTATTCCGTCCACACACAAATCAGCCTGGCTCAGGTCCGCAAGCACTGAGGACCTGGGTCCTGTGACCCTGCTAGGGGGGTGGTTTTGAGCTCAAATCCTGCTGTGACTGGGGGTGAAGCCCTGTCATATTGCAGTGTGGCCACAGCTTGAGCCGCAGAAGGTCGGCAGAGTGCAGCATGGACGCGTTAGCCCAGTTATGACCCAGGTGCAGCGACTGTAAACCCAGGTCTGCAGTGTAGTGTGGACTTTCCAGCACAGGCTGGGATGCACCGAGTCCACAAGCCTGGATCCCACAGACCAGGCTTAGTGTCATGTATGTACAGACCCATCCATAACAGCACCAGAGGAGAAGATGGGGCCCACCTTTAGCCAACTGGTTAGAGCACTCACCCAGGACGTGGGACGCCCAGTTCAACTCACCCGCTTCCTCATTGGGCCTCGATTTAGGCACCGACTCCCTCTGAGGGGCAGGGCTTGGGCCAAACCCCTCGGCTTGGCATGTCCCAGTGGATCACTAAGGTCACTTTCTCCAACACCACTTTCTACAAGCCATTACCCTCTGATCCAACTGAGAGTTACCAAAAGAAACTATAGCATTTGCTCAAGAAACTCCCTGAAAAAGCACAAGATCAAATCCGCACAGACACACCCCTGGAACCCCGACCTGGGATATTCTATCTACTACCCAAGATCCATAAACCTGGAAATCCTGGGTGCCCCATCATCTCAGGCATTGGCACCCTGACAGCAGGATTGTCTGGCTATGTAGACTCCCTCCTCAGGCCCTACGCTACCAGCACTCCCAGCTACCTTCGAGACACCACTGGCTTCCTGAGGAAACTACAATCCATCGGTGATCTTCCTGATAACACCATCCTGGCCACTATGGATGTAGAAGCCCTCTACACCAACATTCCACACAAAGATGGACTACAAGCCGTCAAGAACACTATCCCCGATAATGTCACGGCTAACCTGGTGGCTGAACTTTGTGACTTTGTCCTTACCCATAACTATTTTACATATGGGGACAATGTATACCTTCAGATCAGCAGCACTGCTATGGGTAGACGCATGGCCCCACAGGATGCCAACATTTTTATAGCTGACTTAGAGCAACGCTTCCTCAGCTCTCGTCCCCTAACGCCCCTACTCTACTTGCGCTATATTGATGACATCTTCATCATCTGGACCCATGGAAAAGAAGCCCTTGAGGAATTCCACCATGATTTCAACTATTTCCATCCCACCATCAACCTCAGCCTGGTCCAGTCCACACAAGAGATCCACTTCCTGGACACTACAGTGCTAATAAACGATGGTCACATAAACACCACCCTATACGGGAAACTTACTGACTGCTATTCCTACCTGCATGCCTCCAGCT